TATAAATATAAAAATACATAAATATAGCAACAAAAATATAAAATAATTCCTTTATTATTGCCCCAATGTCCTGAAGGACTTGCCCCCCCCACTCTCCCTTAGGCAGCTGCTCCAAGGGGAAGGATCAGGTCCTCTCACCGTGTGTTGTGCTGCTCCCGTGCCCTCCTTTAGGTGGAAAAAGCCAACTGCAGGCAGGTTAAGTAGCCCAGGGTGTCTGTTTACACCTGCCTGGGCCTGACCTGCTCTTGGGCACCTTTTCCTTCCCCAGGCAGATCGGGGAGAACCTGATTGTGCCCGGGGGGGTGAAGACCATCGAGGCCCACGGCAGGATGGTGATTCCCGGCGGGATCGACGTCCACACCCGCTTCCAGATGCCGGAGCAGGGCATGACGTCTGCTGATGACTTCTTCCAAGGGACCAAGGCTGCCCTGGCCGGGGGCACCACCATGATCAGTAAGTGCCTGGTTTTCCTGTCCCAGCAAAGCTGGCCTTTTCTCTGTCCCACATGAGCTCAGGAGCTGTGCAGGTCACACATTTGGGCCCGGGTGGTCCCTGAGCTCTGTCACGTCCCCCTGGCAGGCTTTGCCCGGCTGCCTGTGGGACTTCAGCAGATTTTTGGGTCTGCCCCTGCTGAAACCAGTCACTGTGACCTCTGGTTCCAGGCTGAGGAGCAGATTCCCCACGTTCCTGAGCCTCAGTTCCTGTCTCCACGATGTCTGTGGATAAATGTCCCTCATATTATTCACACCCAGGAGCTCCATGCCAGTGTTCTTTCTGTGTGTCTTTGAGAACTGGGCCACTTATTTAAGGATTTTCACGTGCCCACTTCAGCTTTAGCACCGGATTTTTGTTAAGATGGTTCCTTTTGTGCTCGTTTCCTCTTTTGGGGGGAAGAGAGGGGGGACTGGGAAGTGAAAATACCTCAAAATAAAAAGGCAGACAGACTGACTGTTCTGCTGACACCAGGATTAGACACTCCTGGTGTTCCCCTCTGCCTCCAAAATGCCTCAGGAATGAGCTCCAGGCTCTCTGTCCCTGCTTGTGTTGCTTGGCCTGTCAGAGCCAGGGTCTTAAAACTCCGTCAGCAAGTCATTGTTGGGAATGTTGTCTGAGCTGGAGAAAAACCAAACCCCTCTGTGGCAGTGTGAACTCTTCCATGGTGCCCTGGAGTCTGTTGCTGCACACAGGGATGAGGGATAAAGGTGTGAACATCCTCATCTCTTGGAGGTTGGTTGTGAGCTGTCATTGATCCCTGGACTTGGATTGATTAATCTGGAGCTTGGGAGTAGGAGTGGTCCAGACACAGCCTGGCCTGTGAGCTTGGCCTCATGCTTCAAATAAAACTTCCTAAAATAACCTGGAAAATGGTTTTCCATGGTGTTCTCCCCTCAGAGTGTGAGGTTTGTGCAGGAAGGTAACCTCACCCAGGGAGTGTGAAGTGGGAGAGGAGCTGGGGACCATCTCATTGTGTGCACTAATATCCAGTTTTTCTTCAAGTCTTTGCTGTCAGTTTAAATGAGTAGCACTGAAATGGTGTTTTCTTTTCAGAAAATTCAGCTTCAGTTCATTGACGTTGTTCCTTTGTTATTAATACACCTGCTTCACACTTGAATTATCATCTTGTTCTTCCTTGTTAAGCTGAATTAGATCAAAATAACATTCTCTGTCGCCTGCCTCTGCCCTTTCAGCAGCATTATTTCCCTCAGTGGCACTTTTTGAAAAATGTTTCAAGCAGCAATTGCTTTGGCAAAATTTTCTGGAGCAGCCCTTTAGTTTGGTTGCCTGATTTTACCCCTGCAGAGCCTCGTGCCTCAGAAACACCTGGGCTTGCTTTATTTGCAAATATGTCTTTTGCTTTTGGGACTGAATTATACCTGAATATCCCTGTAATGGTGCTGGGAACATGTCTCTGAGTCGGGGAGGTGGGAGGAGAACCCCCCTTTTTACAAATTGTCTTTTTACAGCTGTGGCAAACAAGCCCAGTTTGGATGATGACAGTGGACAGGGCAGGCTGGTCACTAAACTTGACCCTCCTGGGTGTCTCACGTTAAGGCACCAAAATACAAAATATCTCTGAACAAAAACCAAAGCTTCATAGCAAGGACACGGATTGGACTGATGAGGATGATGGAAGGGTGGGAATCAGCCACTGGAGCTGTGGAAATCAGGATAAATGATCCAACCAGGCTTCAGAGCTTCAGCCCCTGTGGCAGCTCAGCTGTTTTCTCAGCAGAATTCCAGCATTTGCAGGAGTTTTTTTTCCATGCTGGAGCAGGGAGAGCTGCCCTCCTGAACGTGCTCTTGGTGGGTGGCCTTTCCCAGAGCAGGTGGGATGTGGTTGGTGGCAGAGAGTTTTTTCTTTTCTTTTCTGATAAGTAGGGCAATATTTAGCGAGCTGGATTCATAATATTGCAGACAAATTACAGCCTGAAAATTGCACTCTCAGAGTTGTATCTTTGTGTATTTTAAATACTGGGACTTTTCCAAAGAACCTGCTCCTCCCATGGGCACGTGTCCCACTGTGTGCCTCTGTTCCTGGGCTTTTTTTTTGGGGGGGGGGAAAAAAGCCTTTTTGGATGTGAGATTTGTGGGGAAAAAAACCCCCCTCCACATTTCTTCATTTGTGCTTTAAGCAAACCTGATCTGATTTATTTACAAATACCTTTACTCCCTCTGTTTATACACAGCCCTAATTTTGGGCAAGCAAACAGGTTGGTCGGCTTCATGCTTCAGTTTATTTCCCATTTTCATGCAGGAGGGTGGCTTTGAGGCCTGTTTTGCTTTCCAGTCGTTGCAGGGAAATATTTATTTTACGTACGGTTTGCAGTCAAATTAAAACAAAGAGTCCTGGCCACGTTTCCTGTTGATGGTTGCTTTGTCAAAATTTGGGGGGGACATTCTGGCTTTGGGGAGTTAATGGAGAGTTTTGGCTTCGACCTCAGCAGTGCCAGGAACTCACCTGGAGTTTCAGTGGAGCTCCTTTGCAGCTCAGCTCGGATTCCACGTTGCTCCTTTAATTCCCAGGGGGAGCACACAGTTGTTCAGGAATGTAACCCGTTGTTTCCAAGCCCTGTTCTCCTTTGCTTCCCTTGCCCTTTCCAGCAGATTCATCACTGCAGCATCAGAGGTGGGGAATCAAGTGGATTCTGGGATCAAATGGGGCACCTGTGTTGTCTGTAGTGATTTATCCCGGTGGGAAATGGTTCTGGCTCCAATTCCCAACTCACCCCCTGCTCAGCTGGGATGAGGGAGAGGGGCTGGGGGTGCTGATCCCAGTTTTTTTCTCTCCCCACCCTCTGTGCTCCCCCCAGCCCTTGGTTTCCTGAGCCCTCCCGAGGTTGCCTCACTGAGGAATTAGGGTTGATTTCTTTTCTGGCTGCTGGTTCCCCCGGGGCCATCTGAGCAGGAATTCCAGCTATGATCCTTCTGTCTCTGCCCTCCCCAGTGCCAAAGGCAAGGCTCCAGCTGACTTTGCTGATGTAGGAACAGACAGAGTTGGTTTTTGCTGGGCTCACATGACCTGTTGTGATAGGGCTGTTGCTCTGAGATGACGACTGGCGCGACCCTTTTTCTCTGTCCCCACCTTAAAACAATATTAGTGTGAGCCTGTCAGCTGAGGGGGAACGGCCCTGTGTGTTTTAGGATAACACTGCTCTGGAAAAAAACCTTGGATTCTGGCCCTTTTCAAATGTCAGAATGCAGTGTTTGGGCATTAGGATGAAAGGAGGATTCCAGAACGATCCACAGAAGGTTTTGCAGGAGGGAGGTGTATTAGGGATGCTCCAACCCATCAGGGTTGCTTCCCTGAGCTCCCCTGTATTCCATGGGAAGAGAACAGCCCTTCCAGAGTTTTGCCTGAAGTTGCCCTTTACAAGAGGTTCTTTCTCATCCACGGAGCCACAATTTTTGTGAGCTAAAAATGGCATTTTTTTATAGATTCATAGAATATCTCTGAGTTGGAAGGGACCCACCAGGGTCACTGAAGTCTAGCTCCTGTCCCTGCACAGGACACCCTGTTTTTGAGCCCCTCTTTTCCCAACTTGGAATAGGTTGATGCCCCAGGATATAAAGCAGTCCCTGGAGCTGTTGGAGAGGGAAGACTCAGTGCCAGGGCCAGGGTGGCCTCTCCCAGCCTGCTGATGGTTTGGTTGCTTATTGCCTGTGATGGGTAAAATCCCCATCAAAACCAGTGGGAAAACTCCCTGTGATTTCAGCAGAGGCAGGATCACCTTCCCCTGCTCCCAGTCCTTGGGAAGGGCTGAAGTTAAGCTCTGTATATTTACTGTCTCTCTGATCCTCGAGCCTGTTTAATATCCCAGTGAGAACTCCAGCTATCCAGGCCAGCTCCCACACACATTTCAGCCCCTCCTCCCAGGCTCTGCCTCTTCCCTGGGTCTCTGCTGTCCTTGGGTGAAATCTCTTGCTGACATTGCCTGTGTTGACTCAGTCAACCACTGTTATAATCATAGAGAGAAATTACAGTGAGAGAAATTATAGCTTTTCCTGGCTTGGTGACTTGGAAGGCAGCTGCCTTTTGAACTTGTCTAGCAGTTCTCCTAATAACATGGAGATGGGCACTGGGGATATGAGCCTGTGTATCTTGGGAGGTTCAGGAGCCTCACATGGGCTGCCTTCAGCTTCCTAATTCCTTACCCTGCTATTAAGGAGCTCGTGGGCAGGATGGCAGAGGTTTTGAGCAGGTTTTGAGCTGCTCAGCTCAGTCAAATTTGTAGTGTGGTGACACCAGGTCTCTCCTGGGTCATCCTGGAGGTCACCACCTTGCTGGAAGGGAATGTTTCCAGGTGGTTTCCTCACCTCTTGGTTTTTGATCTGAGCATGACTTGAGGGAGTGGAGCTGCCCCAAAAGAGGTCAGAGTACAAGGCTGTGTGAGCTTAGAGTGGGGTTTAGAAAGGTATTTAGATGAACCAGTGAAGACCAGATCATATTCTACCTCACTCTGGGTGCCTTTATTTTATATTATCAGGGTTAATTTTATCCTGGTGGAGGCCAAGAGTCTAAATGGTGAGGGGAGGAGGAGGAGGAGGGAAGCAGAGGCACAGGAGGAGGTGACAGCAGTGGTCACGCAGTGACTTGTGGCTGAGCTGGAATTATAAAACCAAGCATTTTGCATCCAAAAGCAGCAACCACAGAGCTGTAGTGTCTCACCAAGTCCCTGGCTGTGTGTACACAGCACTGCATTGTTCCCCAGGCACCAGCCCCACTTTTGTTTCTCTTTGCACCCAGAGATGAAAGAGGAACTGTGCGGCTGGACCAGCCCTGGCTCTGGGGCTCTTTGGCTTTCTGGCACTGCTTCTTCTGCAGCAAAGAAATGCTTAATTCTCTGGAAATCTAGTGAAAATGTCCACTTGCTTCTGGAAAAAATGATTGATGCTTTATATGGGTGGAGGTTCCCTTGGACTCTGTGATTAAGGGGGTGGCACTGCCGGGGGTG